AAAGACGAAAAAAATGGGGCAGAAAAGATATATGAAGAAATAATGCCCCAAAACTAATCAGCTTTAGAAAAACAGGTAACTACATATTCAACAAATTCTATAAAATCTAAACAAAATAAGCTTAAAAGAGCCATATCCTGACACTTAAATTCCTGAAAGTGAAAGATAATGAGAAAATCTTGACAAAGCCAGAGAAGAACACCTTAGTCTTTTTCCTTGTTGCCCCGGCTAGAGTGCAATGGTGCAATCTCGGCTCATTGCAACCTCCACCTGCTGGGTTCATGTGATTCTCCTGCCTCAGCCTCCTGAGTAGCTGGGATTATAGGTGCCTGCCACCACATCCAGCTAAATTTTGTATTTTTAGTAGAGATGGGGTTTCACCATGTTGTTCAGACTGGTTTCAAACTCCTGACCTCGGGTGATCCACTCACCTCGGCCTCCCAAAGTGCTGGGATTACAGGTGTGAGCCACAGTGCCCAGCCACCTTACTCTTACAATAGAGAAATTACATGAATAACTACAAACTTCTCAGGAAATGCAACAAAGGACACAGACTGGAAAACACCTTTACGAAGTTGGTGGGGGAGGCCAGGAGCGGTGGCTCATGCCTATAATCCCAGCACTTTGGGAGGCCGAGGCAGGCGGATCACGAGGTCAAGAGATGGAGACCACCCTAGCCAACATGGTGAAACCCCGTCTCTACTAAAAACACAAAAATTATCTGGGCATGGTGGCGTACACCTGTAGTTCCAGCTACTCGGGAGGCTGAGGCAGAAGAATCACTTGAACTCGGGAGGCGGAGGGTGCAGTGAGCCAAGATTGCGCCACTGTATTCCAGCCTGGCACCTGGCAACAGAACGAGACTGTCTCAAAAAAAAAAAAAAAAAAAAAAGTAGTTGTGGGAGAAAAAGGCAACTGTCAACCTGGAACTGTATATCCATGAAAATATTATTCACAAATGATAATGGATTAAGGACATTTTCAGATAAGGGAAAGCTAACACAATGTGTTGCCACCTGATGAGCATTAAAAGAAATATTACACTGATAGAACTGAAGGGAGAAATAATTCAGTAATAATAGTTGGAGACTTCAATACCCCCATTTCAATAACGGATAGAACAACTAGACAGAGATCAAGAAGGAATCGGAAGACTTAAAAAGCTGTATAAACCAACTAGAGCCATCGGATGCCTATTTATAGAACGCTTCACCCAATAGCAGAATACACATTGTTTTCAGAACATACACTGCACATTTAGCATTCTGCTGTATATACCGTATGTTAGGTCCTAAAGTAATACATTTTAAAAGACAGAAATAATAAAAAATATATTCCCTAACCACAAAAAAAAAAAAAAAAAAAAATCTCAAAAACAGAAACTTGCCAAATTCACAAACGTGGAAATTAAGAGAGAACTTCCTAAATAACCATTGAATGAATGAAATCAAAAGGGAAACTAGAAAACGCTCTGAAATGAATGAAAACGGAAATACAACACACAAAACCTTGTGAGATGTGCCTAAAGCAGTGCTTAGAAGGATATTTATAACTGTAAACACTTGCATTAAAAAAGAGGAAACAGGCCAGTCCAGGTGCCTCATTCTTGTAATCCCAGCACTTTGGGAGGCTGAGGTGGGCAGATCACCTGATGTCTGGAGTGTGAAACCAGCCTGGCCAACATGGTGAAACCCCACCTCTACCAAATATACAAAAATTAGCCAGGCGTGGTGACACATGCCTGTAATCCTAGATACTCGGGAGGCTGAGGCAGGAGAATCACCTGAACCCAGGAGGTAGAGGCAGCAGTGACTCAAGATCACGCCACTGCACTCCATCCAGCCTGGGCAACAGAGCAAGACTCTGTATCACTAAAAAAAAAAAAAAAAAAAAAAAAAAAAAAAAAAAAAAGAGAGATTACTAACATTAAGAATGAATTATTGCTGACCTTAGAAAAAGGAATATAACAGAATGCTATGAGCAAGTGAAAGACTCTGTATCACAAAAAAAAAAAAAGAGAGAGAGAGATTACTGACATTAAGAATGAATTATTGCTGACCTTAGAAAAAGGAATATAACAGAAAGCTATGAGCAAGTGAATACCAACAAATAGATAACTTAGATGACCTGGAAAATCCCTAGAAAGATACAAGCTACTAAACCTGACTCAAAACTTTCCACAAAACAAAAACAAAAACAAAATGCAGCCAGGTTCAAATGCCTTCACTGGTAAATTCTATCAAGTGTTTAAAGAAGAAATAATACCAATCCTTACAAAGTCTTCAAAAACTGAGTAACACATTGTAATTCAGTCCTGATGCCAGCATTGCTGCGACACCAAGTAAGACAAAGTCATTACATGGAAACTATAGATCAACATCCTCTATGAACAAAGATGCTAAATGAATAAGTACATAACACTAGCAAACTGTTTCAACAATTTTCTTTAACTTCTTACTATTATTATTTTGAGACTGAGTCTCGCTCTCTTGCCCAGGTTGGGATGCAGTAGTGCAATCTCAGCTCATTGCAACCTGTCTCCTGGGTTCAAGCAACTCTCTGCCTCAGCCTCCCAAACAGCTAGGATTACAGGTATCTACCACCATACCCAGCTGACTTTTGTATTTTTAGTACAGTCGGGGTTTCAACATATTGCCACCTGGTCTTGCACTCCCGACCTCATGATCCACTTACCTCGGCCTCCCAAAGTGCGGGGATTACAGGCGTGAGCCACATCGCACAACCTACTTGTTGTATTTTTAGTAGAGATACGGTTTCACCATATTGACTAGGCGGGTCTCAAACTCCTGACCTCAGGTGAACCCACCTCAGCCTCCCAAAGTGCTGGAATTACAGGTGTGAGCCACCACATCAAGCCTGTTCCAACAATTAAAAAGGAAAGATGACAACATATAGAACATGATAAGTAGGATTTATCCTAGGACTGCAAGGTTGGTTCACCATACAAAACCCCTCAATGACACCATATTAATGTAACAAAGGACAAAAATCACATGATCAATAGATGCAGAAAAGCATTTGACAACAATATCTAACATCCTTTAGTAAGAAGAAACAACAAGCAACCTGAACAGAAGGGAATGTCCTCAGCCTGATAAAGGACATCTACATGAACCCACAGTTACCATCATACTAAATAATGAAATACTGAAAGCTTTTCTCCAAAGATGAGGAACAAGACAAGGATGTCCATTCTCAACACTTCTATTCAACACTGTGTTAGACGTTCTCGCCAGAACAAATAGGTAAAATAAAATAAAATAAAAGGCAGCCAGACTAGAAATGAACAAGTAAACCTATATTTACAAAATTACACAACATTGCATATAGAAAATCCTAAGGAACCAATTAATTTTTACATTTAAAACTAATACACAAGTTCAGCATATTTGCAGGACTTAAGTTCAATATACAAAAATCACCTGCATTTCTATATACTAACAGCTAACAACTTTAAAAGAATTAAGAAAAGAAAAAGACAGAAAAAAATTAAGAAAACAATTTCATTTACATGAAAATGAACAAAAAATTTAGGAATAAATTTAACCCAGGGGGTATAAAACTTACACACTGAAAACCAGAAAATATCACTTAATGAAATTTGAGATGTGAAACAGAAACACATCCCATTTCCATGGACTGGAAGATCAAATATTATAAACACAGCAACACTTCCCTAATTAGAGATTCAATACAATCCCTACCAAAGCCCAGGCGTCGTTTTTGTTTTTAAAGAAACTGACAAGCCGATCGTAAAATTCATATAGAAATGAAAGGAACCGAAATAAGACAGCCAAACAATCTTAGCCAGGAACCCAAATCAAGATAGCTAAACAATCTCGAAAATGAAAAACAAAATTACAGGACTCATACATCCCAATTTCAAAACTTAACACAAATTTGCAGTAATCAAAACTGGGTGGTTTTGATTACAGGCATGAGCCAAGCATAGTGGCTCATGCCCGTAATCCTAGCACTTTGGGAGGCCACAGCAGGTGGATCACCTGAGGTAAGGAGTTTGAGACCAGCCTGGCCAACATGATACAACCTCATCTCTACTAAAAATACAAAAATCAGACAGGCATGGTGGTGTGCACCTGTAATCCCAGCTACTTGGGAGGCTGAGGAAGGAGAATCACTTAAGGCAGAGGTTGAGATGAATCCCAGTTACTTGGGAAGTTGAGGCATGAGAATCACTTGAACCCAGGAAGTGGAGCTGAGATGTGCCCCTACACGCCAGTCTGGGCAACAGAGCAAGACTCTGTCTCAAAAAAAAGGCTGGCTGCAGTGGCTCACCTGTAATAAGAAGGTAAGGGCGAGTGGATCATTTGAGGCCAAGACTCAGGACTTTTAGACCAGGTTGGCCAACATGGTGAAACCCTGTTTCCGCTAAAAACACAAGAATTAGCCAGGCGTGGTGATGCACGCAAATAATCCAGGCTACTCAGGAGGCTGAGGCATAAGAATCATTTGAGCCTGGGAGGCAGAGGCTGCAGGGAGCCAAGATCCAGCCACTGCACTCCAGCCTGACAACAGACCAAGACTCAGTCTCAAAAAAGAATAAATAAAAAGATACCAATCCTGTGGACACCTTGATATTGGACTTCCAACCTCCAGGGTTGTGAGAAAGTAAATTTCTGTTGTTCAAGCTACCCATTTGGTGGTCCTTTGTTACAGCAGTGCAAGCGGACTAACACAATCTGCTTCATCACACTCCCTCTTGCTTCCTGAATCCACCTTGCAAACCCCAGCTTTAGGACCTGCGGCCTCCTTTTCCCTCTTGGCAAAGTTAGGCATTATAGTATACCCATTTTTGTACTGCAGAAATTGAGACTAGAGGATGTCCTTACTTGGTGAGGTAAGGGGCACAGAAAACATGAAAATCAAACTTTAACTGGTTCTGTGATCTGTGCAAAATTATCTCCACACTTTTTCAATACCAGATACTTAAGGAAAAAAGTAAGAGAGAAACTGCTTACTTTTCAACCCAGAGCACTGAAACGAGCTTTACACCTCTCTTCTGCGCTTTGTCCCAAGTGCTCCGGTAGCCATCTTTGAAGATAACATGTGTTACTTGTTTATTAAAAGTTTTTGAAACCTGTAGACAAAATGCAGAAAACAAAATGTACATTACTGTTCATTCACAACTTCTTAAGTACAACTGATCAAACAACCAAACCCCAACAATTGTTTCTCAGAATCTGACAGAGAAACACTCGAAGGAATGCATAACACTGCTTAAAACATATCTGTTTCAGCTAGAATGGTGAATTGTACACACAAGTTCACATCTTCTCCCTCTAAAAATCCTCTCTCTGAAGTGTCACTGAAAGAATAAAGAATTGGAGCCCTGCAAGAATAAAGAGAACAGAAGAGAAAACGTGGCCATGAGAAGACACCACATTTTTAGAAGATGGAAAGAGTCAGATAATTACGGACATTTCAGAAAAGTTTTCTACATCAAAGAAAATAAAACCAAATAAAATTCAGAGACAACAGAGAAAACAGAACACATATTTAACCAAAATTAAAAACACTCAGTATCTTAAGATACTGTATTCACGCAACATGATCAGAAGATAATTTTTAAATAGGATCCTAAAGAGCTCTTGGAAATTTAAAAAAAAAAAGATGACATAAGTAAAAAAAAATCTACAGAAATTTTAGATAATGAACTTGAGAAAAGCTCCGTGGTAGCATAACAAAAGGACCAGAAGACACAACAGGAGACATAAAGCAAAAACATCAGGAGCTCAGTCCAGGAGATCCAACAGCCAATCAACGGGAGTTAATGAAATACAGAAATACAAAAAATGGAGAAGATACTAATAAAGAAATAATAAAAGAAAAGTTTCTCAAACTAAAGGACAAGGATTTTAGATCAAAAGGATGCCCCATAAAAGGCCAGCGTAAGAATGAAAACAGCACTACATCAAACTTACCACAGAATTCCAGCAGGGTTGGCAAAGAAGAAAAATATTGAAAGAGTGGGTAATCAAGGTGAAGAGGATGGAGACACGTCACATGCAAACAATGATAAGTGACAAGTGACAACAGTCTGGAAGTGAGTAAACAATGGGAAATACCTTCAAGAAAAAATAATACTTGTGCTAGCATTTTACAGTCAGCTAAAATATTAGTAAAAGTTAACAGTATAATAAAGGCATGTTCAGACATTCATGGTGTCAAAAATTTTACCTTTTATCTATCCTTTCCAGAAGTAGAACTCATTTGCATAATTTTTTATAGCATTCAATTATACTGAAAGAATATATGTACATGGTTTGGAAGTATGAAGGCAAATACCAAAAGAAACAGATGGTCTGAAAGTAGCTGTCGCCGGGCGCGGTGGCTCAAGCCTGTAATCCCAGCACTTTGGGAGGCTGAGGCGGGTGGATCATGAGGTCGAGAGATCGAGGCCATCCTGGTCAACATGGTGAAACCCCGTCTCTACTAAAAATACAAAAAATTAGCTGGGCTTGGTGGCACGTGCCTGTAATCCCAGCTACTCAGGAGGCTGAGGCAGGAGAATTGCCTGAACCCAGGAGGTGGAAGTTGCAGTGAGCCGAGATCACGCCATTGCATTCCAGCCTGGGTAACAAGAGCAAAACTCCGTCTCAAAAAAAAAAAAAAAGAAAAAAAGAAAAAGAAAGTAGCTGTCTTTGAAAAGTAGAAAAGAAAATGTAGGGGAAAGGGCTCTGCTGGTTTCTCTTTGTTTTCATTGTGAACTTCATGGCACTGCCCATTAGTCTTTTTAAACAATGAATAGTTATTACTTTTATGACTCTTTCTCTCTCAATCTCCGCACCCCTGCCAAGTCCATGGAAGCTATCAAGGCAGTCAAGAATTACCCAACTGAGATTCTAGATCAAGACTGACACCTACTTCATTGCAACGGTCAAGTAAAAAGAAAAAAGAAAAAAAACAGAAGACACCTAGAAAGATGAGTCTAGCATTTGAGGCCATTTTCCCTCAAGGCTTTCATCAAATGTAGTTAACACTAAACAGGACAAAAATTGAGAAACAAGCCTCAAAGAGAGAGGGGGTCTGAAAAAACTCCTATACCTTGGGTTTAGACTCAAAGGGCTGCATCTAGATAAGGATGAAGCAGAAATTATAATGACCCTCACAGGCTAGTTTTAAATAATCTCAAATCCTGAAATTGGCTTAAGATAACCCTGGATTATGACTACTCTAAATACCCTACTGGAAATAAATCTGAATCTCTTTTGAAAAAAGATAATACAATTCTAGGCCTCAAATTATTTACAAATAATTTTAAATACATGCTTAAAAATTTTTAAATGTGAACAACAAATAAAAAAAAACAAGCATAGGAGGAACAGAATAAGAACAGAAACCACTGGATAAAACAAAAAATAAAAACAGAGGTAGATATTGCAGTGTACCAGATGAAGACTTCTGGTGGAATGCAGCTGAAGCCCCACTTAGAGAAAAACATGTATCTTAAATGCATAAATACAAAGTAAGCTTGAAAATCAGTCAGCCAATTAAAACCAAAGGAGGCTGGGTGTGGTGGTTCACACCTGTAATCTCAGCACTTTGGGAGGCTGAGGTAGGCAGATCACATGAGGTCCGGAGTTTGAGACCAGCCTGGACAACATAGCAAAATCCGGTTCTACTAAAAATACAAAAATTAGCCAGGTGTGGTGGTGCATGCCTGTAAGTTCGGCTACCGGGGAAGTTGAGGCAGGAGAATCACTTGAACCTAGGAGGCGGAGGTTGCAGTGAGTCGAGATTGTGCCATCACACTCCAGCCTGGGCAACAGTGTGAGACTCCATCTCAAAAAAGACAAACACAAATATAAAAGACAGGGGGGCAGGGGAGGGGCTCAGAAGTGCATGCATGTAACCCCCTAAACACACTACGCATGCTCACTTCCAAAGGTAAGGAAGCAACCTTAGACAGTCCCAGGATCAGGTGCTCAGCTCTTCTCCCACTTGTCTCTTTGGTCTTTATGAGCCCACTTGACTGTCTTCCAGTTCTTCCCTTTCTTCTTCTAATGCCTTTTTAAATCAACTTCCATTCCTGCTCTTTTTCATGCCCTTTTTTCTTTTTTCTTTTTTTGAGATGGAGTCTTGTTTTGTCACCAAGCTGGCGTGATCTCGGCTCACTGCAACCTCCGCCTCCTGGGTTCAAGCGACTCTCCTGCCTCAGCCTCCCAAGTAGCTGGGACTACAGGCACCCGCCACCATGCCCGGCTAATATTTTATATTTTAGTAGAGAGAGGGGTTTCACCATGTTGGCCAGGATGGTCTCGATCTCCTGACTTCGTGATCTGCCTGCCTTGGCCTCCCAAAGTGCTGGCATTACAGGCTGAGTCACCGCGCCCGGTCCTTTTTTCTGCTTCATGTCCCTCAGTCTAATTCTTTCTCCTGAGGAGGCAAGGACTGAAGTTGCTACGGACCAGCCCTCACGGATATGCTGCCGGTAACTCAGAGTAACTCAGATCTCTTCACGGCTAACAGTTCTGTCCTGAGATCAGAGAAAGAGACCAATGAACGTGAAACTGCCATCGCAAGGCTGTAACAGGCAGCAAAGGAGATCTGGCCTGACCGGCTCCATCTTTTTTCTAACCTCCAAGATGATCTTGTTCATTCCTGGGCATAGGCTGAACTAACTCTGGGAAGAACTTAGTTTAGAGTTTAAAACAAAGAACATGAGAGTCCTTTCCCCAAATCTCCTTATTGCCTGGGAAGTAGACTGCCTTTGTAGGACTAATGCCACAAGATTAGAAATTACGGTTTAGGGCCGCGTGTGGTGGCTCACGCCTGTAATCTCAGCATTTTTGGAGGCCGAGGCGGGCGGATCACGAGGTCAAGAGATGGAAACCATCCTGGCCAACACAGTGAAACACCGTCTCTACTAAAATACAAAAATTAGCTGGGTGTGGTGGTTTGCGCCTGTAGTCCCAGCTACTCGGGAGGCTAAAGCAGGAGAACTGCTTAAACCCAGGAGGCGCAGGTTGTCGAGAGCCGAGATCTTGCCACTGCACCCCAGCCTGGCGCCCGCCAACACAGTGAGACTCTGTCTCAAAAAAAATAAAGAAAAAAAGAAATTACGGTTTCGGAGTCATGCAGCTAGAGGCTACAAGTTCTGACCCTCCCTAAACTGCTCCTAATATCAATGCTTGAGATACTTTGCAGACCCTGAGCTCCAGGCGCCATTCAGATGGATAAACTAGCTCACCTGATCTCACGGCTCCCACCCAGGAACTGACTCAGTGCAAGAAGACAGCTTTCCTCCCTTGATTTCATCTCTGACCTGACCAATCAGCACTCCCGGCTCTCTGGGTTCCCCCCACCCACCAAGTTGTCCTTAAGCGCTCTGATTCCCAAATGCTCAGGGAGACTGATTTGAGTAACAATAAATCTTGGTAGCCAGCTCTGTATGAATTACTCTTTCCCTACTGTGTAATTTCTGTCTTGATAAATCGGCTCTGTCTAGGCAGCAGGCAAGATGAATCCACTGGGTGGTTAAAAACAGAGCTGTTTAACAGACTGGACATATACGGATCCCTGATTTAAAACGGAAGTAGTAGTTCAGACCTTGATTAGAGGTTGTTTTCAATAAATTATGTTGAGGCAAATATTCATGTAGGAAAAATGAGACAACTACTTTATACCATATGAAAAAATCAATTCCAGGTATACTTTTAAGTGTGAAATGCAAAATGATAAAAGCTTCCAGAAAATAACATGAGAAAATCTTTATAACCTTGGTATAGAATTTTCTTTTTAAACCAAGACACACAAAAAAGTTTACCATAAAGCAAAAAAATAAATTGAACTACATTAAAATTATCACCAAAAGAAACCATTATGAAGATGAAAGACAAGCCAGAGTGACAAAAATATTGCAATTCATTTGGCTGATAAAAGGGTCAATTCTAAATCATAGAGAATACTTACAAATCAAGAAGAGATAAACCCAACTGAAATAAAAGCTGGAGGCTTGAATATATACTTCAAAATAAATGCGAATTCAAAGCACAATGAGATACAAACATACCAGAATGACTGAAAGTAAAGGTTGACAAAGCCAAGCATATTCAGCAATGGGAACTTTCATACATTGATATAAGTATAAACTGATCCAACCACTTCAGAATACTGTTAAGAAACCATTGCTAATTTTCTTAGATGTGATCACAGTATTTTTGTTATACAGGAAAATGTCTTTATTTTCAGATGTTGCATATTGAGTATTTATGGTCAAATTAAGAGGTCTGCAACTTACTTTAAAATAGTTCAGAAGAAAAATACAAGTACACATCTAAACACACTGTACACAGAAATAGAGATAAAGCAAGTATGTTAAGATGCTAACGACTGTTCAATCTATATTCACTATTCTTTCAACGTTGTTTGCAAATTTTTGAAATAAAAGGTGAAAACCAAAAAGAGCAAAAGATCTAAGATCTTAATGTTACCCTCAAAAACCACCTTGTCAACTAACTTATCTCAAGGCTTTTTTCTCATGCACAATAACTTGTCTTCATCCCAAGTAAATTTTAGGCATCAGAACATGCAGACTCCCTCAGGCTCCGACATTCCGATGTATCACAATAGGCATGTCTCCCCTCCTGCACTGTGGGTCCTGCTCTTATAATCTGATTCCTCTCCACTGACCTTTTACTCAAGGTATACACTAGGGAGGCCAAACAAGGCCCTTAGGGTGAAAAATTTAGTAGCACCAACTCTTTGCCTGGTGGTGAATGCCTCTTAGGTTTTATAACCAGGGCAGCCCTCTTGTCGCACCCTAACCCAACTCTACACTCAATTATCTTTTCATCTCTTTTTTTGTTTCTGGTTTTTTGTTTTGTTTTGTTTTTGAGTCTCCCTCTGTCGCCAGGCTGGAGTACAGTGGCATGAACTCGGCTCACTGCAGCCACTGCCTCCCGAGTTCAAACAATTCTCTTGCCTCAGCCTCCGTAGTAGCTGGGGCTACAGGCATGCCCCACCATACCTGGCTAATTTTTTTTGTATTTTTAGTAGAGGTAGGGTTTCATTATGTTGGCCAGCATGGTCTTGATCTCCTGACCTCATGTTCCACCCGCCTCGGCCTCCTAAAGTTCTGGGATTACAGGCCTGAGCCAGCACCCACCCCCCCACTAATCTTTTCACCCATTTTAATGGACCTCTTTTACTCAGCCTATCAGTCAGCCCCTCTCAAATGCCAGAAAAAGACATAAAGAGACTTTGTTCACAGCTAAACTCCTTACGAGAGTATTATTAGTTCCCCCTTAACCATGGGAGTTAAGTTCTAAGACACCCCCCACCGCACCCCCGGTGGATGCCTGAATCCTTGACTAGTACTGAATGGGTTATATACTGTTTTTTTCCTATACATACATATAAAAGAGTTTTATTTACAAATTAGGCACAGATTAACAATAACAATATCAAAATAGGGCAATTATAACAATGCATTATAAGAAAAATGATCACCCACGTGGCTGTAACTTTTGCAGTTTGGTGTGACTGCAACACTAGCATAGTTTTCCTTCTTCACAGTTTCAAGATTAGAAGATTTGTTCTCACTGTAGATCTGAGCAACTTCAGTATACAATTTTTTCCCTTTCTTTAAAGTGGAGAACTTTCACCTTTTCACTTAAAGAAAGCACCTACAGGCTTCTCTGGCATATCTGAATTGCCAGCATCACCACTCTTACACTTTAGGGCTGAAAATTAGGTCAGCCGAACTTAACCTGCTTTGCATGCTTTTGGTCACTTGCTTTTTTGTCGTTTATTTACTTATTCCTATGTAGCTAGCTGCAAGTCATGCTGCTAAATGCTGTAAAGACCTTCACTGGCTTCCTTTTAACAGTTCTGGTGGACGTGCCACCATGGTAACAGCTGCTTAAGCTATTTTTCAGGAACTTGAGGCAGCACCCGTACAGTTCAAACAGGCTGCACCCACCAACCCTTCAACCATGCCTGTGCAAATGCCCAAGAAGTGACCTTTTGACATCAGACCAAAATCTCCACCAACAGATCCCACTAGTGCCTGTTTTTGTTTTTGAGATGAAGCCTCGCTCTGTCCCCAGGCTGGAGTGTAGTGGCATGATCTCAGCTCATTGCAACCTATGCCTCGCGGATTCAAGTGATTTTTCTGCCTCAGCCTCCCAAGTAGCTAGGACTACAGGCACGTGCCGCCACACCCCGCTAATTTTTTGTATTTTTAGTAGAGATAGGGTTTCCTGTTGGCCAGGCTGGACTTGAACTCCTGACCTCAGGTGATCTGTCAGCCTTGGCCTCCCAATTGCTCCGGTTTTTTAAACATGCATCCCATGAACCCCAACTACCCTCATGCAGATCACTGAGAGATTACTTCATTTTTCCCCACAGCTTAGATCACCCCACTTCCCTAACTGATAAATATCCCTAAACCTTATCTTTGAGAATGAAGATGTGAGTAGTCTTTTGCCTCCTGGCTGGGCTTCCCTGTGAACGAATCTTTTTCCTTTTGCAAAACCCATCATCACAGTGATTGGTTTAGTGTACATGGGCTAAACACACCTATTCGTTATCAAGGATATTATTATGTCAAATAAAGGTTACTTGAACACAAGCACTATGCGATTATAAATCTGGTAACAGAGATGGCTATGTTAAGAAACCTTGAATAAGGCAAATTGTTTTGCTGTCTCCATTTCCTCATACCTCAATGATTCCTGCCCATTTCACTGAAAACTGCACTAAGTTCAGCAATGACCTTAGAGTGTTCAAATCCAAAGTACATTTGACAGTCCTATCTTTCTTGAAGTTTCTGTAGTTTTAAAAAATTCTATCTTTAAAATTACTCCTGCCTAGCTCTGAAAGGCAATTAAAAAAAATGACTCCCTCCTTTGACTTCCCCATGTGTTCTCCTTATCCTGGCATTCTTCTCTCCGTCACTAGGTCCCTGCTCCCACTGCCTGTTCTTGAACACCGAACAAGGATCCTCCATCACCACTCTTCATGCTAACCATGCCCGACATGGGATGGCATCCATGCCTGTGACTTCACATGACCCCTATGGTCTTGACCCCCCAAATCATCACCTCAAGCTTTGATCACTTCAAGTTCTGGACTTGTATATCCAAATGTCTAGCAGATACTTTCAATATGCCCAAATTTACAACTTTTCCCTTAGAAACCTATTCCTTTTCCTGTATCCTCACTTTGCTTAATGCAACCAAGCAATCAATGTAAGAATCCAGATTTTTATCCTAGGTTCCTCCTCCTCACTCAGTGTCCACAGGTCCAACTGTTCTGTAAGTTCTACTGTTCTAAATTCTTCACTTTGGCCGTTTTTTCTCCTACTGCATTCCCATTGCTTTGTCCTTCATATTCGAAGTAATAACTCCCAAAATAAGAAAATGCAAATGTAACCTTTTACCTATCAGAAGACTGTCATATGAATCAACAGCAAAATAAATGTCTTACCTTTGCTCCCATATCCATAAGCTGTGTTGTAAATGTCTTTGAATAATTTTCTGTTTCATTGGATGACCACACTTCAACATAGGCCACTACATCTGAAAACAAGGTATGAGCATGAAATATACATTTGTAATTCCAGCATCCCCTGCCCGATAGATTTTGTTCTATTTAAGAGTAAATGGGGGCCGGGCGCGGTGGCTCACGCCTGTAATCCCAGCACTTTGGGAGGCCGAGGCGGGTGGATCACGAGGTCAAGAGATCGAGACCATCCTGGTCAACACGGTGAAACCCCGTCTCTACTAAAAATACAAAAAATGAGCAGGGCATGGTGGCGCGTGCCTGTAATCCCAGCTACTCAGGAGGCTGAGGCAGGAAAATTGCCTGAACCCAGGAGGCAAAGGTTGCGGTGAGCCAAGATCGCGCCATTGCACTCCATCCTGGGTAACAAGAGTGAAACTCCGTCTCAAAAAAAAAAAAAAAAAAAAAGAGTAAATGGAAAACTTCTATTGGCCAGGCACTGTGGCTCGTGACGTAATTCCAGCACTTTGGAAGGCCAAGACAGTGGGATCACTTGCGCCCAGAAGTTTGAGACCAGCTTGGGTAACACAGTGAAACCCAGTCTCTACAGTTTTTTTGTTTTTTTTTTTGTTTTTAAATTAGCCAGGAATAACTTTGAGCAGCTGTAGTTCCAGCTACTGGGTGGGAAGACGGGGTGGAGAAGCTGAGGCAGGAGAAACCCTGGAGTCCAGCGGGTAGAAGCTGAGTTATGATCGTACCATTGCACTCCAGCCTGCGCAACAGAGCAAGACCTTGTCTCAAAAATAAGAAAAGTAAATCGAGTTTCTCCTAATGGCTGAGCAAAGTAGCTCATGCCTGTAATACTAGCACTTTGGAAGGTGGAAGCGGGAGGATTGCTTGAGGCTAGGAATTTAAGACCAGCCTAGGCAACATAGTGAGACCCTAGCTCTACAAAATAATAATAATAATAATAATAATAATAAAATAAATTAAAAATAAAAATAACCTGGCATGGAAGTGCCTGTAGTCCCAAGTTATTCAGAGGCTGAAGCAGTAGAATTGCTTAAGCCTGGGAGTTTGAGGCTGCAGTGAGCTATTATATGATCATGTCACTGCACTCTAACCTGGACAACAGAGTGAATCTCTGTTTCATAAATTTCTATTAAAGCTTATTCAAAATAGCTTCAGTGCAATTTATTAAAATTTTAAGTAAAGAACTGTACCCATACATCCATCACAGTTTACATTCCTAAAATTAGATGCTTTCCCCAAATTCTTAGGCTTAAGTTTTCTAATGCAGAAATTGTTTTCTGTAAAGGGACAGATGGTAAATATTTCAGGCTTTATGGCCAAACAGTATTTGTCACAACTACTCAACTTCATGGTTGTAGCACAAACATAACCACAGACAATATATTAATGAGGCAGCCTGTATTCCAAAAAAACTTTATTTGTGGAGAAGGAAATGCGAATGTGATATAATTTTTCATTTGTTCTTCTTTTTTTAAAATCACTTAAAAATCTAAAAGATATTTTCAGCTTATAGATCCTACAAAAACAGGCAGCAGGCCAGATTTGGCCTGGGGGGCATAGTCTGTGGTCCCCTGCTCTAGTGGATGTCCTCTTTTCAAAACCTGATGTTTTAAAAAGTTTTCGAGGCGTACCATTGGTCAAAGATTGTGGACAACCCTAAAGGAAAACCAGGTTAATTTAACAAAATGCTAACATTAGAAAAACAGCCACATCTGATTACAGAGTTTGCACAAAGCTTTTCTTTTGGCTATGAGGTTTTATGACTCCAGGCCCCTCTTTATCCCACGGCCAAGCTCTAATAAAAGACCTGTGTCCCCTGTTCTCCTCCCCTCGGCTCTTCCAGGTGCACAGCGGGCGGGACTGAGTATGGTATCCTAAACTGGTTAGGACAGCAGCTCCGGTCTAAAGCCCTATCAACACTGACTAGCCACACACAGTGGGAGAGTCACCCAAACGTTTGCCCCAGGCCTTAGTTTTCCCACCTGTAAATTGAGGTAACAGAATTGATGGAGCGGTTAAAAATCAGACACCACCATACTAGCCTGAGCACAGCGCCTGGCACCCAAGGACTCCGCAGTAAAAGGCGGCTCCAATTCTTGGAACAATTCTTCTCATAGAAACACAACTGCCGCCCCTCCAGGTGGGCCTCAGAGGGGGGGTCGAATAGAACCAGACCCAGGAGGGCACCACACGAACTTCCCGAGGGCAGGACTCTGCCTGCCCATGAGCCCCCCACCCCCGGGTCTAGGGACTAAGGCAGCAGGGGTGACAGCAGGTAGTGGGAGGCGGGTTTTGGGAGCATGGGGGAGGAAGCAGGCAGCTGGGAGTTCTGGAGGAACACGGAGCATGGGGAAGGAGGTAGGTAACCGGGGGTTTTGGGCAGACAAGGAGCACGGCGAAGTAAGCAAGCAGTCGGGGGTTTTGGGGGGCAAGGCAGCGGGGGAAAGAGCAGGCAGCCGGGGGTTTTGGAGGGACAGGAAGCGGAGGAGAGGGCAGGCGGTAGGGGGTCGGGGGGGCGACAGTCAGCGAGGGAGGGGCCCGCGGCCTGCTCTCACGGGACTCCCCGACTGCGCCTGCCAGCATGAGTGCAGGTCCTCAACCTCCCCCGCTGCTGGCGCAGGGAGCAGGAAGTCACTCACCCTTCAGGATGGGGGCCGCCATGACAGACCGCGGAATCCGACGCGCCGGACAGCGCGACGCGAGCGAGCCTGGAGGCGCGGGCGGTCACTGGGCATGCGCACGGCGCGCGCCCCGCCCTCTCTGCGCGCCGGGAATCCGCTCTTCCGGGACGACTCGGGCCGGGGCGGGAGGCGGGGGGCGGGAGGCGGGCGGGAGCTGAGACCCGGGGGAGGGGCCTGGCCCCCCTCGCCGCGCCTCGGGCCGCGGGTTTTTCTCTCTTGTGGGTAATGAGAACGGCGGTCCCTAGCCCCTGAATTACCCTTCTTTTTCCCTTAGTGACTTAGAAGCTTCCCGGCGCCTCACCTGCGCTCGCCCGAGCCGAGGGTCCGGAAGCGGAGGGGGCGCAGTCACAGCCTTGCGGGCGCGGTGGCCCCCAGCGGACGACTTGGTGCGGACTTTCGGCATCTTCCGCCCCACTCCCGCCCGACACCCCTGGGGCCGGCGCGCCACCTTACAGCTCCGAGCCCGACCCACTGCCCTGCCGGCTCGGGGGACCTGGACCTCCGATCCCGGGGATGGGGAACCCCGAGACCTCAGACCCCACCGGGGCGACCCCGAGACCTCAGATCCTCAGTAGGGGAGTGAGTGAGAATTGGGATCCCTGAGGCAGCAAATTCCTGTGGGGGCCACCCCAGGACCTGAGATCACCGCGGGGTGACCCCAGACCTCACATTCAGGCAACCGGGGACTCCCGACTGTCCCGACGAGCCCCCTCAAGGGCTCGGTCCTCCAGCTGCTCCGCGCTGCGGGCTCCCAGGCTCAAACTTCCCGCCCGCGGAGGCCCGCCCCGGAAGCAACCCGATTCAGGGCAAGTGACCTGCCCAGTCCGAGGCATTACAGCTGGTAACTGATGGAGATGTTGGTGTTGAAACCTATCTACTTTTAGTTCTTTTTATTGAATCTAAAGGTGGGATACATGTACAACAGTATCAGCTACCATCTACTCAGGTCTCTCATCTATTCATTCACTGTCAGCTGTTGTTTCAGATGTCACTTGGATCTGTGATTCTGAAGAATTGCCTTGAGTATATGCAGCCTCAAAATGCCACTTCTAGGCTCAGTCTTTGGTCAGTATCTATCATTATCACAAGTTATTCCTCTAATAAACTCTACTCTGGAGATACAGCATTATGGTTTACTTCTGAGTGTGAGTTCAGCTCATGGAAGACCCAAGTACTTTTTTACTGAGAAAGTGATATTGATCTCTGTAGGTTTAGAATTAAATGATGACATGATGAAGTATATAAACAAATTAATTTTGGTCAAGGTTTTTAAAAATAAGTTTAGTATTTGATAGACTCTTCAGCTCCACAATTTTGAATATTTTCTGCTATGATTTCTTCTAGAAATATTATGGCTTTAACCTGGGAGTTGTATCTTAGTTAGGTCTAGGATCTCCTTTTTTTTTTTTTTTTTTTGAGGTAGGTTCTCACTCTGTTGCCCCGGCTGGAGTGCAGTGGTGTGATCACAGCTCACTGCAGCCTCAACCTCCTGGGCTCATAGAATAGGATCAACTTTTAATTAACTTTTGTACTCAATGTGAGATAGGGGCCAAAGTTCATTTTTTGCATGTATATATATGCAAATACTATTCCAGCATCATTTGTTAGAAAGTTATTTTTGTCTCCACCGCATTTTGTTTGTGCTTTTGTCAAAATCTGTGTTGCATATATGTGTGTTTCATTAGGCTTCCTATTCTGTTCCATTGAGCTATTTGTCTTTTTGCCACCAGCACCATGCTGTTTGGATTATTATAGCTATATAAATAAGTGATGAAATCAGGTAGTTTATGTCCTACAACTTTATTTTTCAAGGTTGTTTTGTATCTTCTAGATTCTTCAGATTTTCTTTTCTTTTCTTTTCTTTTTTAAATGAAGGCGGGGTTTCACCACGTTGGTCAGGCTGGTCTTGAACTCCCGACCTCAGGTGATTCACCTACCTTGGACTGCAAAGTGCTTGGCTTGCCCGGCCCAGATTTCCTAATAAATCTTAGAGTCAACTTGTCATTTTGTATAAAAAAATAAGACTGCTGGGATTTTGATTGAGATTGTGTTGACTCTACAGGTCAATTTGGGGAGAATTGACATTTAAACATATTCAATCTTCTAACCCATTAACTTTTATTTAGGTCTTTTAAAATTTGTCTTAGTGATGTTTTGTACTTTTCACCAGATAGATCTTTTATAACTTTTGTTGGATTTTAACCTCAGTATTTTTATTTATCTATTTATTTAGTTATTTTGAGACAGGATATTACTCTGTCACCCAGGCTGGAGTACAATGCTGTGATCATGGCTCACTGCAGCCTTGACCCTCCTGGGCTCAAGCCATCCTCCCACCTCAGCCTCCTGAGTAACTGGGACTGCAAGTGCACACCACCATGCCAAGTTAATTTTTTAAATTTTTTGTCGAGACAGGGTCCCACAGTGGCATAATCTCAGCTCACTGCAACCTCTGCCTCCAAGGTTCAAGCAATTCTCCTGCCTCAGCCTCCTGAGTAGCTGGGACTACAGGCACATGCCACCACACCCAGTTAATTTTTCTTTTTTTTTTTTTTTAAGTAGAGATGGGATTTCACTATGTTGGCCAGATGGTCTCAATTTCTTGACCTTGTGATCCACCCACCTGGGCCTCCCAAAGCGCTGGGATTATAGGCATGACCCACCCTGCCCAGCCTCCTGTGGCTATTTTTATGGTTACTTTAATTAAATGATAATTAACTGCCTGGTGACAGAGCCACACTTAATCTCAACAACAATAACAACAAAAGGCATAGGAGATTCTATGATTGTTAAGAAAAAAGTAGCTTTTTTTTAAGGTGAGAAGATTTAGTTCCCTTAAATAAGGATATGATAAAGCACTAGAAATTATTCTAATAAAACAGAGTCACTGATTCCTAGGTAGTATTAATGAAAAAAAATTCTAAAAGTTATTGAAATAGTAAGGAAGACTTTTTTTTTGGAAGACTGGAGGTTTATTATTACTCAATCAGTCTCCCCAAGGAGCATTCAGGGATTAGAGTTGGAGTGCAGTGGCATAATCACAGCTCACTGCAATCTGTGTCTCCTGGGTTCACGTGATTTTCCTGCCTCAGCCTCCTGAGTAGCTGGGATTACGGGCACCCCTCACCACACCTGGCTAGTTTTTGTACTTTTAGTATAGATGAGGTTTCCCCATGTCGACCAGGCTGGTCTAGAATTCATCAGGTGATCCTCCCTCCTGGGCCTCCCAAAGTGCTGGGATTACAGGCCTGAGCCACCATACCCAGCCCGGGGATCAGAGTTGTTAAGGAGTTGTTAACTAGGTGGTTCAGGGACAGCCAGTGAGTCAGGAGTGCTGATTGGTTGGGTTGGAGATGAAATCCTAGGGAATTAAAGCTGTTTTCATGTGTCGAGTCAGTTCCTGGGTGGGGGCCACAGATCAGATGAGCCAGTTTATCCATCTGGATGGTGCCAGCTGATCCATCAAGTGCAGAGTCTGCAAAACATTTCAAGCACTGATCATACAAACAGTTTAGGGAGAGTCTGAATCTTGTAGCCTCCGACTGTATGACTTCTAAACCATAATTTCTAATCTTACGGCTAATTTGTTAATCATAAAAAGACAGTCTAGTCCCTAGGCAAGAAGGAAGTTTGTTTTGGGAAGGGACTGTTTATCTGTTTGTTTTAAAGTTCCTCCCAAAGTTAGTTCAGCCTGTGCCCAGGAATGAACAAGGATAGCTTGTTTGGTCAGATCTCTTTCACTGTCTCAGTTTACAATTTTACAATCGTGGTTTCAATCCTTCCCATTGGTTTTTTGTTTATTTGTTTGTTTTGAGACAGTTTAACTCTTCTTGCCCAGACTGGAGTATGATGATGTGGTCTTGGCTCATTGCAACCTCTGCCTCGGGGTTCAGGCAATTCAAGAATTTGTTAAAGTGTTGTTTCACAGTTAACTATGATCCTATTTAATCAAGTGTTCAAAGCTTTTGGCATTTTTGACAGCTTCTCCAAATTCTAAATGAATTCTATGGAATTTAGAATTCTAAAATGAATCTTTTTAACCAGTTTTTCCAATTACCTCCTGTTACAAAAGATAACAGGTACTTGTCACACTTATGCAGATAACCATACTACCATAAATTGAGAATACTCACAAATAATTATCAAATTCTGGAGAAATCAGGTAGAAAGAAATATGCTCCAAATTTTGTTCATAGGAGTGTATTTTACTCAGTTGTGAAAGGCTGTAAAATAGCTCAAAAAAAAAAAAAGTTTTACATCTGGAAAACAAAAAGAATTAGCAACATTGCCAGGCGCGGTGGCTCACGCCTGTAATCCCAGCACTTTGGGAGGCCGAGGCAGGTGGATCACGAGGTCAAGAGATCGAGACCATCCTGGTCAACATGGTGAAACCCCGCCTCTACTAAAAATACAAAAAATTAGCTGGGCATGGTGGCACATGCCTGTAATCCCAGCTACTCAGGAGGCTGAGGCAGGAGAATTGCCTGAACCCAGGAGGCGGAGGTTGCGGTGAGCCGAGATCGCGCCATTGCACTCCAGCCTGGGTAACAAGAGCAAAACTCCATCTCAAAAAAAAAAAAAAAAAAAAAAAGAATTAGCAACATTTTAAGCAAAAAAGTTAAGGAAAAAAAAAAAAAAAGCCTACCTCAGTCTTTTTAGTTCACTCCATTCAGTTAACTTCTGTTCTGCTTGATATTCATGAACATTTCAGCTTTCCATGAGAGTGCTGAAAGTTTTCCCCTTAAACTAATGTCATAATCTCCAAAGTTATCAGACCCTTGCATTCAAGAGCACCTCTCAAAGTTTTATAGCTGATTATAAAACCACCTTCTAAAGAGGATCAAAACAAAATAATTGTGGATGACAAAAACATTTTAGGGCATCCACAGTAAAAGACAAAATTGACAGGGAAATTTTTACCTTTGTGGCACACAATAATTTAACATAACAATTATAATTATTACTGATAACATATACTGA